TCCATAAAGACTTACAGTCTCAGAAATTTGAGAAAGTCACTATTAGTTGGAATCAGCTTGACCACAATGGATATACTGGTTTTTGGTTGACTTTTCTGGGATTTCTGTTCATTTTCAAGTGATCTAAGTCAACTCTTTTGACCACATCAGGATCTCTCCAGTGTGCTTTATTCTCAGAAAGAAATTCCCTAGTCAAATAAGTTTGAGAAAATTTTAAGTTTAAAATGTTTTTCTGATCTTACTGCTTTTTCAAGTATAATACTGTGTCTTGTGACTCTAGAAAAATGCATAAAACATTCTTAAGTAATAGAAATTAATCTTATGAATTAGTGTTCCAAATATATTGCTTTGAAAATGGCAGTTCTGTTTTGTTAAGGATCTTTCAGATGAAGTTATTTGCCGACATTCTATAACTAATTCTGACACATTCCGAACCATGTCAGTCATTTTGCGTGTAGACAGAGTAGAATATTAATAAAGGCCGAATAAACTTACAGCACGTCTCCTCCAACCAGAAATTTCACACTGAAAGAGTAATTTGAAATGCTGTAATTCTGCTTGGTCAAATTAACTTTTTATATCTTGGAAACAGAGAGATTGATACCTCCTACCTATGTTTCCCTTAAATGTATTGAGCTATAATCCATAGCTAGTTTCATTGTTAATCCAAATGTGACACCTTTCTGTGTGTTCAAATCCACTCAGTGCTTTGTGGAAAGAAGGTTGGCCAGCCGTCTCCTGCTGTATGGTTTACAGCTGAATACTTAATGGTGTATCAGCTATGAGTCACTTTTGACTTGATCCACTATGAGTCAGTTCAGATTTTTAGACAATTGTTTTGTGGAATTTTTTTAAACTATGTATATTTATAATATGCAGTTTTATCAGTTTAGATACACACACAAACACAGAGAGACTTTATAAAAAAGAGAATCTTCGAGTTATAGTGGACTCAGTGGCACCCACCAGCATTAATAATGTTGACATTTGACAGTATCACCAGAATAAAGATAATAAGCAAACTTTTAGGAAAAATTGTTGTTGTGTACTCTTGAGTTGGAACCAAACTATAGCTGACCCTCCAGTGGGTTTTCAGAAGCCGTAAATAAAAGGGGAAGATATTACACATCTTTATATCTTTATAAGCACAATTCCTTACCATAAATCACCAGAGCTCCCATGTTTTTTTTGTTTTGTTTTTCATTCTTCCCAATGATTTGCTAGGAAATTTGGAGGACAGCTGCCTGACTGGAAGAGAGAAGTTTTTGTTCCTGTTCCCAAGAAAGATGATCTAACAGAATGTGGAAGTTATAAAAAAATATCCTGATAGCACATGCCAGCATAATACTGCTGAAGATCATTAAAAACATCGCTAGAATAGTAGAAGAATGGGAATTCCAGCACACTTAATGGTGGCCATGGGAAATCTACACATGGAGCAGGAGGCAATAATGAGAATAGAGCAAGGAGACACTTTATGGTTCGAAATCACTAAAGGTGTACACCAGGGATGCATCATATCTTCATACTTTTTCTATCTATATGCAGAACAGATCAGCTGGGAGGCTGGGCTCTATATGGAGGAATGTAGCATCATGATTGGAAGAAGATTCATCAACAACTTGAATTATGCAGATGACACAACCTTGCTTGCTGAAACTGAGGAGGACCTGAGGCATTCACTGCAGAAAATCAAAGACTGCAGCTTTCAATATGGATTGAAGTTCAACATCAAGAAAACAATAATTCTAACCACTGGGCTAATTGGCAGCATTGTAACAGTGAAGAGATTGAGGTTGTTAACAGATTTAGCTTGCGTGGCGTCACAATCACCACTCTTGGTACTGGCAGCCAGGAAAGCAAAAGAAGAATTGTGTTGGGAAATCTGCTGTTAGGGACCTCTACTAAAGAGTAATTACTTTCCTGAAGAGTAATGATGTCTGTCTAAAGATTAAGGTGCACCTGATCCAGGCTGTGATCTTCCCAATTACTTGCTGTGCATCAGAGAGATGGACATTGAATAAGGATGGCAGAAGAAAAATCAATACCTTTGAGTTGTGGTGCTAGAGAGGAGTATTGAATATACTATGAACTGCTAAAAGAACAGGTTTGTCCTGCAGAAGGTGAAAACAGGTTGCTCCTTGGAGGCAAGCATTCTGAAGCTCTATCTGACATACTTTGGGCATATTGTAAGGAGAAACCAGTCCTTGGAGAGGGTCCTTAATGCTTGGATGGACTGACTCAGTGACTGGGATAATGGGGGTATGTGTATCAGAGACAATGAAATTGGCTCAAGATAGAGCAAGTCTCAGATCAGTTGTACATAGAGTCACTATGAGTCGGAGTCAACTCAGCGGCACACAACAATAACAGCAGACCAGCACATAGATAGAGAACTGCCAAAAGTTCAAGCTGGATTTAGAAGAGGCCATGACACCTAGAATATCAGTGCTGATGTCAGATAGATCCTGGCTGAAAGCAAAAATACCAGAAGAATGTTTATTTGTGATTATTGACTGTGTAAAGGCATTTGACTGTGTAGATCATAACACATTATGACTAATATTGAGAAGAATGGGAACCCCAGAACACTTAAATGTGCTCATGTGAAATCTACACCTAGAAAAAAGAGGCATTTGTGTGAACAGAGCAAGGATTTAAAATTAAAAAGACATACATCAGCATTGTATCCTCTCTCCATACCTATTCAATCTGTGTGCTGAGAACTCATCTATAATTTATGTTATGTAGATGACACAACCTTGCTTGCTGAAAGTGAGGAAAACTTGAATGTTTACTGCAGAAGATCAAAGAATACAGCAAAGAATACCAGAATAATGTCTATATAAAGGCATTTGGCTGTGTGGATCATAACAAATTATGACTGATATACAGAAAAATGGGAATCTTAGAATGTTTAACTGTGCTCATGTGAAAAGTATTCCTAGATGGATAAGAAATAGCATGATAGTTTGAGAAAATATTGAAACTGCCAACAACTTCATTTTACTTGGATCCGTAATCAACACCCTTATTATCAAGTCAGTCAGGAGATCAGGAGACTCATTTCACTGGGAAAATCTATAATTATGTACCTCGTCAAATTACTGAGGAGCAATGATGGTGGTTTAAGGACTAAAGTGCACCTGATTCGGGACATAGTCTTTTCATTCACTTGCAATTCTTCTGAGAGCTCCTCAATGAATAAAGATGACAAAAGAAGAATTGATGCCTTCAAGCTGTAGTGTTGGAGAAGAGTATTGAGTCATGGACTGCTAAAAGAACAAACAGATATGCGTTGGTCAAGGTGCAGACAGAGTGCTCCTTGGAGGCAAAGATGATAAAGTTTTGTCTCACATATTAGGGCATGTTGTTGGGAGAGGCTATTCCTTAGAGAACAACATCATGCTTTGAAAAGTAGAGGGACGGCAAAATAGATGAAGACCCTCAACCACACGGATAGACACAGTATCTCAGTGTCTGCCACAATGAGCTTGTGTATGTCAGAGATTGGTAGGATGACACAGGATGGGAAAGGGTTCACACCTGTTGTTTGTAAGGTCATATTCAACTCAACAGCACCTAACACCAATTATTTAGTGATTCATTTATATTGATACATGTATATCATCAGTTTATTGTTTGTTTTCCACTTGTGAATCTTCCTGATGGTTTCTACATTTGTCTGTTGGTGATGACTTGAATTATTTGTAATTTTTCTTAACATGACTGGAAACATTCTTGAGTAAAACTGTGTTTGATCACATGCTGTGTTTTTCTTAGGTAAATGGCTAGGTTATGTCTCATTACTGTCAAGTATGAACTGACTTATAACTGGCTTTCCATTTGTTTTCCGAGACTTTAAATCACATAGGAGATTACTCATCTTTCTACTTCAGGAAAGCTGTTGCATTTGAACTGCCAAAGTTGACCTTTGCTTTAGCAGCACAACGTGCTACCGAATAGAATGCTAGAACTCTCTAGTCAACTTAAATAACACATTTTCTTTTCCTTTAGTACTTTGTTGCTATTGTGTACCTTTGAGTTAGAATTGACCCATAGCTGATCCTGTGATTGGTTTCCAGAGGCAGTTAATCGCACAGGAAAAGATTGTCCATCCTTCCACCACAGAGCAGCTGGTGGGATTTGAAGCAAATACTTTTGGGTTTGCAACGCAGCTTCTTATCGCTAGGCCACCAGAACTCCTTTAATACTTTTAGTGTTAGCTAATTTAGTTAGTTAGTTGTTTGCTGTGTTGTTTTGTTGGGTTTTTTTCTTCCCTTTTTTTCTTACCCCTAAGAAGTGAGCACTCACCTGGAAGAAATGAAGAATGTTTGAGAAAGAAGTAGAGAGTGGAGATGATTTGAATTAGGAATGTCAGGAAAGGGAAAGTTTCAGTAGATTTTTAATCTTTGTGTTGGGAAAAGTGAGAAGGAAAGAGTGAGTATTCAAGGGTCTAGGAAAAGTCTAACTCTCATTTTTTTTTTAATTCCTTAATAAGGATCTTAGAAGGTTTTTGATCGTGTGTGGTTTTTTTTCTTCTAAATTGTTCCAGGTAGTGAAGACCATAAACAATTATTTGTAATTGAGTTTGGAGGACATATAAGTTAGACTAAAAGGAATGAAAAGGGAAGATTTAATACTGTGAGGGGGAAAACCAAAATCGTAGAATGTTGAGTGTTAACTCGGTTGGTTTGCATTGATTACTGATTTTGTAAGCTATGTACCTGTAGAGGTGAAAATGTTGAACACATTCACTTATATGAATGAATATTCAGTATTATATAGAATAAACTCTGGTTAAAGGGAGCAAAAAGTTTGTTTTGTCTTAAGTGCTTTGAAACTGTGATAATTAGCAAAAGTCTTGTTTGAGGAGGTATAAGTGATTGGCTTGTGCTTCCCACAGAGCGGCACAGCACTTTGGATTGTAAGGTAATAATTCCTTGTTCTTTTTTCTCAGTATGATGTAACTTAAAATGTACTTTTGTCCATTTTTATAGTTCCTGGCCTGACAGGGGTCTGCTTGGTACTGGTACTTTTCCTCATGATTACAGCTTCTACATATGCTATCCGGTAAGTTTTGAGTCCTATTTCCATTTTTACTGGTCAGATTAATAAACTGTTCTAAAGATTATCTTCATTTTCACATTTGGAAAAAGCCTTGATTAACCAAAACCCTTTAGCCAATGTACTTAATTAATGGATTTCTGAATAATAGAATTAAATATAAACTTTTCTACTTATCAGTTCCTATTTTTCAATTTTAAGAAATTATGTATAGAGACTGAAAAATGTGATAGGTGATGGAAGTTGAGTCCTCCATGGTCATCCCTCTGAAGAACATTTATCTGAATCATGGAATTGAATTTAGCATAGACATAGGAATTTGGGGAATCTTTTGCTAAATAAAACTTAAGTTAATTTTCTGATGTGACTTCAGCTCTCTGTAATTTATCTCAGTCTTCTAAAAAGAAGCTTCAGGAACTTTAGATAAGTTGAATCCTGCTAAAATAAGAAGCATATGCAGTGACATATATTTTTGCTTCAGATAATTTTGAGCTATTAGAGGTAGACACCCTGGGAATTTTTAACATGCTCTTTTAAAATTTGTTTTAATATGTTCTTTTTGATGGATGTATATGATGTTCAGAATATTTTAGTGTCTTCCATTTTTCATCAAATCTTTTCATTAAAGAAAGTAAAAAGAATAAATATATAACAACATATACATATATCTTTTAATCTTATATAAAGCTTCAGTTACATTACTTGTTGAGATAAGGAATGATTATACATAATTTTTACTAATTACATATATTTATGTGTTAAACCTCTCTGTCTCCCTCTCCTCTCTATGTGTCTGTGTGGTTGTATATATTGTCACTGCATATTGTTGTGATGCTGGAATCTATCTATGCCCTATGATATTTTAGTACTAGCAGGATGCTTGATAGGTTTCAGTGGAGCTTCCAGACAAACTAAGAAACATGCCTGACCATCACATGGGGAATAATGGGCTAGTGAAAACCTTATAAACAGAACGTTGTTTGATATAGTATTGGAAGATCCATCATTTCCAATATTTTGAGTGGTAAAGCACTCAAAATGTGACAGGGGAAGAACTGATTTCTCAAAGTAGAGACTTCCTTAATGACTCAAGGTCAAGCTTTCCCCTTGTGAACAACTTTCATTTGTTGATGTAGCACAATTTAAAAAAAAAGAAGAAGAACAGCTACAAGTGTCCATTAATAATCCAAGTGTTGAATATATGAAGTGTGTGTCTAAAAAAATTGGAAAACTATAAAAAATGAAATGGAATATGGAAAGACCAATATTCTAGACAGTGTGCAGGCATGGATGGACTAGTGTAGCCATTTTGAATCAATCATATGGTGAGTTATGCTAACAATGACAGAATGAAGAGGAATGTACTTGATAGCAGTGGTTCTACTTTTATATATGTTATCAGGATGCTTGTGAACATCTTTACAATATATGAATTTAATAGATACAAAACAGCTGGCTATTAATTATATTAGTATTTCTTAAAGATTCTAGGATTTATATCAGCATTACCTGGGAAGAGCCTTCAAATGCCTACTTTCTATTTCCAAGATGCTCATGTATCATGCATGAAATAATTGATGATCTTTCTACTTTTCTCAAATATTTATACGATAGATTTTTTTTTTGTTCTCTCTCAGGGCAATAGCTCCTTGGTATCATTCTTAAGTCCATGAGGAGAGGGGGGTGAGGGAGTGGTGATACCCACCACAACAAACTAACCCAAAAAACTACTTCAGTGAGCATTTTCTTTTATTTCACTCTGTTTAAGTTTCCTTCAAATTCCATTAAAAATATGAATTGTGATGAAGTATTAGATGTTTTGGAAATTATTTAAAAATTGAAAATACTGATAAAGAAGGTAAACAGAAATATATTATACAGGGAGCTCTGGTGGCCTACTGGCAAGAAGCTGCACTGCAATGCTGAAGGCACACAGTTCGAGGCCACCAGGTGCTCCATGGGAGAAGGTTGGCCAGTCTCTTCCCGTGCAGTTCACTGCCTCTGAAAACCCACCAGAGGGTCAGCTATGGGTTCGTTCAGACTCTATGGTACACAGCAACAGTCTGTTACACACTTCTTTGCCTTGTATCATAAGTTTAAAATAAGCTCCGACTTATTTTAATTATTTTCGTGTATCTTTACTGTAATTACAAAGAGCTTTAAAGTGATAATATGTTATTTATACTTGTGTCAACTTTATAGAATAGCATGGTGACACTTTGGTTTTACAGAATATCTAAGATGAACTTGTTTTCTAGATTTATTGATTGTGACATCTGAAATGGTGTGCAGTCTTTTTGGTGCAATAAAATATAGAGGAACACTAAAAGTGTTACTTGTGTTTTTCAGAGTTTCTAACTATGACATCTTCTGGTATACTCATAATCTCTTCTTTGTCTTCTATATGCTACTGATGCTGCATGTTTCAGGGTAAGTTTAAAGAATGTCTAAAATACTCCTTCTCTTATTCCTGAGTATAATTAAATTTACTAAGATACTCTAATATAGTCTCAGACATCCTAGAAACTAACATGGTAAATGATTGAAACAAAATTAAAATCATGTGTGTCTCAAGATGGGGTTACGAAACACAACTCTGTAGGGAAACATTCTTCTGTTTCTAGCGTGGTTTGTTTTAATGCAATGAGTCAGAAAGAATGGGGCTCTGGTGGTGTCATGCATAGCAAAAATATCTACTGGTTCAAATCCACCAGCAGTTTTCAGGAGAAAGAAGCCGTTTCTTCAGTAGTGATTTACCATCTCAGAAATCTGGTGGAGAGTCCCCATGAGTTGGAACTGCCTCAGTGGCAGTGAGTTGTGTGTTTTTTTTTGTTTGTTTTTTTTTTTAGTAGAAAACAATATTAAAACTGATTACTATAATTAATTCTACACATTGTATAGTGTATAAAGTCCACTGCAAATCCAAGCCATTCATGGATATGCAATGGTTTAAGGGTTTGACTGTTTACTAAACACATAAGCTATTACCACACCAAGATGTAGCAGTCTGCTTTCTTCAGAGATCAGAGGAGATTGGGCGTGTTCAGAGCAGTATGGCCTTAGACTTCAGTCTGCTTTCTTAAAGATTTACAGGCATGGAACCCTCGGAGGCAGTTCTGTTCTACAGAGTTGCTGTGAGTTGAAATTGACTTTATGGAAATGAGTTTTGATTTTTATATATACATCCTGAAAGTCTCTAAATTAATATACGAGTGTGACAAACTTCGAGAAAGCATTTTAGGATTTTTATTTTTAGAATCTGCTATGTCTTACAGATGCAGGATTTTTAACAATGAAGTTACTAGGCTTTTCATTCGGAAAAGCCTAGAGGAAATAATGGTTGCAGAGAGAGCCAAAATTTACATTAGCTAAAGAAGAGGATCTGTCACAAAATCCAGTAAATCTCACAATCCCTCTCTCTCTTTCTCAGATTCTAATTCTATTTCTCTCTCTCAACTTGTGGCAAGGAATAGGCTCAAATTATTCTGGTATGAATGTGGTTTATTGCTAAAAGTGTTACTTTATAATCCTCAAAAAAGTATAGTGCTTAAGATAATACACTGGAGTTCATAAAGAAAATAGAATGGATATTATTTTTATATTATAATTAATATTATGTTTAATATACACTTGGACCTTTTATTTTTGTATCTATCTTTCTGACTATCATGTACTTAGTCACTCACATAAGATCTATTAGGTCACTACTTGGTATTAGGTTCACTTGTTTTAGCAGAAAGATGAAAGACCTGAAACAGTATTGGTAGGAAAATGCTGAGAGGTTTTTGTTTTTTTTTTTGTGTGTGTGTGTGTGTGTGTGTTTTTTTTTTAATTGGGAGCTCTTATAGTGATGAGAAGCTGCTCTGCAATCCTGAAGACACACAGTTTGAATCCACTAGATGCTCCATTGATGAAAATGGGCAGTCTCCTTCCATTTGATTAATTGCCTTGGAAAACCTGCCAGAGGATCAGCCATGGATTGGTTCTGACTTGACAGTACACAACAAAAACAATATAGTTAGTTGTTCAAGGGAGCTTTTGATAACCTAGTGGTAAGAATGTGTTCTGTAATCCCAAAGGCATGTGGTTCAAATCCACCAGCTGCTCTGTGGAGAAGGATGGCTGTCTCCTCCCTATGATTTACTACTTCGGAAAATTCGCTGGAAGGTCAGCTGTAGTTGGTTGCAACTTAGTAACACAAAACAACAGCAACAGTATAGTTGTTAAGGAAACATTTTTACCTCACTCCTATCCTATCCCATGTAGAAATTCAGTTTTAAGATGAGGAGATAATATGAGTGGCCTGGACTAATTTTCCTTGGGTAAATCTCATGCTACACAAGAACCAATATCTTGATGACAACTTGGGACCCCATGAGGAATGGACTCAGTCACACAAATTCATTGCACACAGGCAATCTGAGGCCTATCATTTCCAAAATTATTTTAGAATTTGCTCAGTTCTCCCAGTCCAGATCCATTTCACTAATAATAAACAATGTTGCCTGGTAACACAGCTGGCATTCCCCATTTATCTTAACCCACAGCGTTTCTAGGGAAAGAGTGTTTGGAGAAAGATTCAAGTCTAGTCTTAATCCATTCTTTAGAATGTTTTATAATGTAAAATATCAGTCCAGCAAAACATATGCATACATTATATACTTATTTCAAAGTGTTTGTTCAAAATATACTACCCTCTTAATTTTTCAGACCACTTATTGAAACAACGGTATTAAATATTGTCCTTGTGATTTGATTACCTTGTTCTAGATCATAAAGTAGTATGTATCAGAATATACATTAAAAGCACAGCTACACCCCATAACCCTAGCCTAGCTATCCATTTCAACCCAGGGAATTTGGGTGTCCTGGATACTGAATGCACCTAATTCTGTTCATTTAACCTTGTGGGCCATTACAGCAATCAGAACTCACTGAGAAACTCTGAGTTATGTTCTTTCAGAAAGCTTACTTCTCTGTTCAGGGCCATTACCATAATGAGGAATTTAAGAAAACAAAAAAATAACAGCAATAATAAGAGTTGAATTATATGTAAGCAGTTATTTAAAATACTTGAAGAATATGTCACTGCTAATTCAGAGGTCATACTTTGGCATTTCAAATCGACCAGCTCAATGAGCTAAACATCAGCAATCTCCTCCTGTGTGAGTTGCAGCCTTGGAACCTAGTAGAATGTCAGCTGTGAATCAGTTCTGGCTCGATGGCAACATGTCTGAGTGAGCTTTGAAAGAATCTTTGTGGGTATCTTGCGCCCAGGGAGTGACTGGTGAGTTTGAAACACCAACCTTTTGAAAGTAGTTGATTTCTTGACCACATTGGGTCCCAAGAGCTATTTCTTTTTTGCCACAAGACTATTTTGTGTAAAGATCTATACTTTCTGAGATTTTGGTTTAATCTGAGGGTTGTTTAATTTTGTAATCTTGCTTTATGTATATTATGGTCTGTATATATACATAGGATGAGAGAAAAGTTCAATCACTTATTAATGTAATGCATTATGCATTCTTTTACTCTTTTGCTTTCACTTTTTACTAAATTAAAATAATTTAATTTTTTTGTAATTTAAAATAAAAAAATTTCCACCCCCCCTACAAGTTCAGAAGTTCAAATAAAATTCTTAAGTTTAAAAGTTTAAGGAGAATTGTGAAGATTCCTCGATTTTATATTCCTTTACTTTTTTAAAGTGAAGCCATATTCAAATATTGATTTTATTTTTATAAAAGAAAATAACAAGATAACTTTAATTTGTAGAAATGAATTATAGAAGACATCTATATGAGAAGTTATACATAATCAACTTCTTACAGACACTCTCTGACTTTGACACAGTCCTCTTAGGATGAAACACATTTATGATCATCCATTTTCATGGGGCTTTTATGATTCATTTTATCTCTGTTAATAGAAGCTACATGCAGTGATGCAGCACATAATTTGCTGATGTTACTCTCAAATGTTCACTTGAAAATGTTCAACTTTACTATTTACTATACAAAACACTGTAGTATAGCAGACTATAGGGTCTGTATTCTATATATATACTATTTAGAAGCAGGAGTGGCATCCACTTCCTAAACAACATGCCTCTGGTAACTCTATAAACTTTGAGAAATGATAGCTATAGAAAGGCTTCAGGTCTTTCATTCATAGGGTCACTATGAGTTGTGCTCCACTTGACGACAGTCACTACCACCATACTATGTAATATATAGACTAGTTGGTGTCTGTATGATATATAGAACATAGACCAGTTGGCGTCAATGTCATAAGCTGTAATGGATAAAGAGATGTATATTGTTCAACTCTTAACATGTTAATGTTTAACTACAGTGTGCTCAACAGCCATTACAACTCTAACTTCATTGTCATAACACTGGCTGTGACTTAGTTGTGGACCTGGCTTATATCATAATCTTATTCAGCATTTCACATCATAAGAAGTATCAGTTATTAATATGAAATCAAGTTGTTCATGTTCTGCTAACTATAACACTTACAGATACATGGAAGAAGTGCTGTTAGATTTAAAGTAAAACTTCATTGTTTACTGTTCTGAAATTACTGATCATTCAAAAACATTGAGAAAAATACACTGTAGGTCTAATTCAGAGTAACTTAAAGGCCTTGTATTATTTGAAGACTTATGATTAAAAAGTTTGTTCCCACAAATGCATGTCTACTGCCTCCAACAGAGCATTCTTTTCATGACTGCTGCTACTTTATAATTTTTCAGAATGTCCTCTTCACGTTACTGTTTTCTAGTTTGTTTGGCTCCATAGTCAACAGTCTTGGCACCAGCAGCCAGGAAATTAAAAGGCACATTGCCATGGGAAAGTCTGCTGTTAGGGACCTCTCCAAAGTGCTGAAGAGCAGTGGTGTCTCTCTGGAGACTAAGGTGCGTCTGATACAGGCCATGGTCTTCGCAATCACCTGTTATGCATCAGAGAGTTGGACAATGACCAAGGAGGATAGAAGGAGAATTGATGCCTTTGAGCTGTGGTGCTGGAGAAGAGTATTGAGAATACCATGGACTGCTAGGAAAACAAATAGATTTGTCCTGGAGAGGGTTAAACCGGGTGGCTCCTTGGAGGCAAGGATTCTGAGGCTCCGTCTAACTTACTTTGGACATGTAGTGAGGAGAGACCGGTCCTTAGAGAGGGACATCATGCTTGGGAGGGTGGAGGGACGGCGCAGGAGAGGAAGGCCCTCTATGAGGTGGATTGATTCAGTGACTGGGATAATTGGGATGGGAGTGTCAGAGACAGTGCGATTGGCACAGGACAGAGCAGAGTTTAGGGCTGTTGTACATAGGGTCGCTATGAGTTGCAAGCGACTTGACGGCACATAACAACAACAACAACAACAGTTGATTCTAACTCACAGTGATGCCGTCTGGTTTCTGAGACTGA